CTCACCTCTCCCTGAGGGTTACCCGAGCACACCGTGAAATCCAAACTCCACCTCCTCCTTCTGCTGGAGGTGTCGGACTGTTTCAGATGCTACATGCCCAATGATCCACTGCAGGAAAGCAGCAGAAAGCAGATTAAGCTCTGCTGCAGGAGAAGGCAGGACCTTGCTCTGGAGCTCCACAATCCTTCAGAGCATGTGTAATGGTACTAGATAGAATTACACTCTTTAAATAGTGTTCTTGAAGGGTTCTTTAGTAAAGCAAATGGTTAAATGTAGAACTGTGTCGCTCCAAAAACCAGCTGACTGCATAAATCATTGATTCTTTATTCGGATGGAAAATCTGTTGTAAATGGTTCTTTATAAAAGGTTCTGTATAGCACCCAAAAAGGGTTCCATTGTGGTTAGAGGTCATAGATCCTTTTTTGAAACTATATGGAAGAGTGTAGGGACATGATTTAAATCATTTTTGCTGTTCAAATCCATGCATTTTTTAATAATGAATAACCCGACCAGAACATATGCCATATTATTATGAATAATATTAAATATTTGCCATTTATTTATATATCAATGTACATTTAACATTCATCTAGCACATGGTTATTTCACAAATTGACCTCAGACACTCAAAAAACAAACTTAACATTGTCCAGCTTGGTATGATTTTTCCTCATTTTATGAGGACTACAAATAAACATGATTTTGACTTGGTAATATAATTCACAAGTCCTCTACAGAGAAATACATCTTCTATTTGGAGTCTCAAAGGCTGTTTATAACTTTCTTCAACATGTTTTTGGATTCATAGGCGTACTACTTTCTTTTAAACACCTCTAGTAACTGTGTAGTTACACATCAATAATACATGTAACAACAACGTACCCACTGGTGATGTTTGTTATATGGGTATGCATTTTTTGTGTCCAAGTCCATTAGTTTTCTAAACACTAATTCAATAAATACATATTATATTATTCAAAAATACCTCTGGTATGTGAAACAATTTTCAGTGCATCCATAAAAATGTCATTTTAGTTTCTTTTTGCCTCTAAAAGATGTCAGGTGGTGCAACTGTGTAACCACATACATTGGCTAAGTAAACTATCAAAAAAGGTAGTTATATAAAATTCTAAATAAAACAGTTTGGTGTGATTTAATGTTTGAAAACTTTAATATAAAAAATGTGTTGCAAAATAAGGCAACTTTAAAAGTACTGAACTCATTGAAAAACTTTAGTCTGCAAGTTGCTTCCTCAAATGTCATGTGGACTTATTTTGACATGCTTTTACAAAAGAGGGACTAGGGTATTGCATCATAAAGAAGACAAATGACTTTTATGGTGTAATGCCTGGGCTAGTAGCCCTTTCATAGGTTTTTTAAAAAAATGTCATTTTTAGTCCCTTTTAGAATAGTTAGGAAAAACATGAAAATGTGGAATTATTATATTAATGTTTACTTATTTGAAAACATATATGCATACACAATGAAGTTCAAGGATAAAAGTTTCTATTCTTGGCTAAGTAGTTGTTAACTTTGACTGAAGTGTGTGTTTAAAGTAAAATTGGTCTGAAATGTCAGGTGGCACATGATGCAACAAGACCAGCACAGTTTTAATAACTGAAATAGGCAATTAAAAGCTTTGATAACACCCAACAATATATAAGATATAAAATGTACATAGATATATGTACATCATGTCCTTTTTTAGAAGATTTTTAACAATTGTCATTTTTTAAAAAAACCTTATTTGTCATTGATCCACATTTGGATTACAGTAATGCAGCTTTAATGACAAAAACCTGTAAAATTGCAGTCATTTAATTTCATAGAAATGCTGCCTTTTACTGTGTTTCCTTAGTTCAACTAGTTATTCTGACATACACTATTTTATCTTAATAAAAATTGTGACAACACACAAAATAGTTTCAAATATCTATAAAAATAAAGCTGATTTATACATTTATATATATATATATATATATATATATATATATATATATATATATATATATATTGTGAATTTACATTGTATTTTTGGTATATAACAACAGCAATGCATGTAAAAGTTACACTTAAGTAACTTAAGAAATAAGTGGACAGTTCCTGCGTAGTTGATATGTAGGTACAGTGAAATTACAGATTGGTAATCCAGGCATTGCTTTTAGGCTAATTCAATAACACACATATATTAATTAATCATATAAAAATCCCTTTTAAAGATGCACTGTTGTTATGTAACTATTATGACATTACAGAATGGTGTGAAGCCAGAACTTTGCTTAAGCTACCATGTTACCTCACAAGCATACTACTACAGCTCGGTCTGAAACTAAGATCAGAATAAACCTGTATCAGGATATCCATAACCGTAAAATATGTTAATTCTCTTAAAACATTATTTCTGCATGCTCTGAGGGTCTTTTTCTGTTTACACTTTAAACTTAGCATGGCGTTGTTCCTGAGCAGCAGTAATGATTAAAGCAATAAATGACTTTACGCCTGATACATTACCTGCTTCAGATGAATACATGTCTGTTCAGCCAGCAGCTGAGAGAGATGTGATTTGTAAGGTGTAATAGACTCATATGTTTTTAAGACATAGTTTCCTTTGATTAAAACGTTACTCTACTGTATTTACCCTGGGTAGCATCAACCCAGAGCTGCGTCTGTTTGATCTTTTATGTGCGCGAGAAGCCTTGAGTCGAGCTTTTTATTCTCTTTGATGAGCTTTTTTGTGTGTGTGTTTCCCTCCACGCGAGCGTAGCACACAGAGTGGCAGCTGTCCTTGGTTCTCTTTCAGTGGGACTTTAAAGCAAACCTTGGCTTTGTTCTGCCTGTGTGCTGTTTGGTAAATATGTATTAAAGTATTTTTTTTTCTTTTTTTATTCAAGAAACAAAATGTTTTATCCACACAGTAAAAGGCTCAATTGTCTGTAGTAAGCCTAACTTTGAATAAAAGACATTGGGACCTTCTGCTTTCTTACCGGGCTGCTGTGAATTTTACAGTTTTTAAAAAAAAGATAAATGAGTAAAACTGACCGTACCCATAATATCACTTATATATTATTTTGACATGCTTTTTTAGCAAAAATGTGAACATTCTTTGAAGTTTTTTCTTTATAAGTTTGTAAAATCTTATCAGCACCACTTACCATATAGGAGCACTTTGTAGTTCCACAGTTACAGACTGTAGTCCATCTGTTTCTCTGCACACTTTACCATGTTCTTCAATGGTGACTCCACAGGACCCCCACAGAGCAGGCACTATTTGGGTGGTGGATCATTCTCAGCACTGCAGTGACACTGACGTGGTGGTGGTGTGTTAGTGTGTGTTGCACTGGTGAGAGTGGATCAGACACAGCAGTGCTGCTGGAGTTTTTAAACACCTCAGTGTCACTGATGGTCTGAGAATAGTCCACCAACCAAAAACATCCAGCCAACAGTGTCCTGTGACCACTGATGAAGGACTAGAGAATGACTAACGCAAACTGTGCAGCAGCAGATGAGCTACTGTCACTGACTTTACATCTACAACGTGGACCAAGTGTCTAATAGAGTGGACAGTGAGTGGACACAGTGTTCACTCCAGCAACACTGCTGTGTCTGATCCACTCATACCAGCGCAACACACACTAACACACCACCACACCACACCAGTGTTACTGCAGTGTTTGAGAATGACCCACCATCCAAATAATACCTGCTCTGTGGTGGTCCTGTGGGGGTCCTGACCATTGAAGAACAGGGTAAAAGGGGGCTAACAAAGTATGCAGAGAAACAGATGGACTATGATCAATGGAGCTGATAAAATGGACAGTGAGTGTAGAAGTAAGGCGATGGTTTTAGTGTATGGCTGATCAGTGTATAATGTAACAAGATTTCATTCCAAGTACAAAAACGTTGAGACAGAAAGGTCTCACTGTGTGTATTGTGGTCTAATGAGTCAACCTACAGAAATAAGAGACTAGACTGTTACCAGCATAAGTTCAAGAGCCAGGTTTTATCATGGCTGTATGATCTAAGCATGAGTGCTAGACTGCCATTGAAACCCCCATTGAAAACATATGGTGCCTTATGAAGAAAAAATACAGTGAAGGCCTCATACGGTTACACAGCTGGAGACTCTGCATTCGAATCTGGATCAGTTTATATCTTGAGTCCCCAGATGGTTATTAAGTGTTTTTTTTAAAGAAAAGGTAATGTAACGTAGTGGTAAACATGCTCCTGTCCCAACTTCTGGTCTCACTTTATTTGGATAGTCCACTATACTCCCCTATAGATTATCTACAAATGTTCAAATTATTAACAAACTATCTGTTGAAACACTAAACAGTGGTGGGGTTAGGATTTGGACCAGGGTCAGGGCTAAGACCAGGGTGAGGGTTGGGTTTCAGTTTTGGGTTGAGGTTAAGGTTAGGGTTAGGTTTAGAGCCAGGTTTAGAGTTAAAGACAATTATGGTCAATGTAGTCGATATTTAGTTGAATGTAACTTGAAAGTAAATGAAGTATCTACAAAGCATCTAAAGTTGACTATCCAAATAAAGTGTTACCCAGCTTTTTTGGAAAATATTTCAGGCATTAAATTTGGAATGAGTGTCAAAACAACAAAAATATTATTTTGTAGTTTTTTCAGTGTAATACAGGTTGAATACTGCTTTCTGTTTTTACTGGTATTTCAAATACAGTTTGAACTTTTGTAAGGGTTTGCAGTTTTGGGCCATTTCCAGTATTCAATTCATAAAAGTTTTACACAAAGCAAAGAAGAGCTGCCATTTTCAAATAATGTACAAAAAAAAACTATGAAAAAATTAGGTTGCAGGGTTATGATGACAGTGATGATATATTTATGGCATTCTTTGAAAATATTGGTCAGCAATTTTTTTCTTTGATATTTACAAATACCAGTTAGCATTTTTTTTTCTTTGTGCAGATTATGTAAAGCTGTAACTGGATGTTTGTGTGTGTGTGTGTGTGTGTGTGTGTGTGTGTGTCCTCCTTAGGCAGCGTGTATTCCTGTGTTATTGAGTAACGGATGGGAGCTACCTTTCTCTGAGGTGATCGACTGGAGTAAAGCTGCGATCATCGGAGATGAGAGATTACTACTGCAGGTAAACATGACACCTTCAAAATATCACCACTTTCACTCACAATATGGCCTAACACCAGGGGCGGAGCTAGCATATAGTAGGGGTGGACAGTTGCCTTGGGCCCTGCCCTTGTAGGGGACCCACAGACAGGCATTGAAATCCCTCTTGTTACCGAGTAACAAGCCTTAATATGTTACAAGGCTGAGATTTTAAGACGTGAAGACAGCGGTGCATATTTCACTTGAAACTCCATTATATCCTATGGCAGGACACTGTTGAACATCACTGTTTGCTCCTAACAGACTCTCATTAACTTACTTACAAATTCTATTATCTTCAAAACTGGTTATATCATCAACATGCAGGGCAGAGAGAGTTCAACAGACAAGAAAATGACTGTAAATAAAATTAAAAACATGAGAATGATGGTGAGAATATATATATATATATATATATTATATATATATAGTGAATGACAGCAAATATCTTTTAGAAACATATTGATATTTGTTTTCACTTTAAGAGAGAAGAACATCAACTTGAAGTGGTCAAGTAGCATACAGGGCAGTGCATGTTTTAGACTCCAGAAAAAAGCTAAATGATCCTCTACATCTATTATCAATGTAGCTTATTGATTACATTTGTAATTCCATCAAAGTAGAAATGTATTATTTTATTATATCTTAGCTATTGTTCAAGTACCATAATAACATTCCTGTCTGATTAAGTTTCTGGTATTTTGAAATAAGCATCAAATAGCAATTGTCATGTGATAAGCTGTCATAATATAATAAATGTTATGACATCTGTTATGACAATTACTGGTAATGATAACATAGTGTCATATTTCTGAACAAAATCTGGCATGACAGCATATGACATGTTTATGACATGGTTATTACATGGTTATGTAACTGTTATGTAGCAGAATTTACATTACTATGTAATTATTTACTTTTGCATTCAACTATGTAATTCAGTATGTACATACTGTATGCAATTACATTTGAATATTATGCATAATAATTCAAATGTATAGCAAAGCAATATTCAAATGTCTAGATTTCTAAGTGTTAAAAACAAAGCAAGTTATTAACGGCTCTGCCCTGAATAGGCTCAGGATTGATTCTTTAGCAAGCAGTGCCAAATTACACCTGCATACACACACATACATGAGTCACCACAGCTCATTATTGACATGCTGTAAAATGTGATATGGTATTTATCTTCGTTAATTACAGGGGTTATTAATGGCTGCTACCTGCCTGCCCTTTCCTAGCTGCGGGTAGCAAAGTCATTAACGTGCCAATCGCAGCACGGCTGAAATATCACCGGCCAAAATGTCACCAAAGACAAGAAACTCGACCTGGAGATTTTACACCGGGGGACATGACTGGAAATTACTGTTATTAATGACCCAAAAGCCTTCAGGCCATACACACACACACCTACACACACACACACCTACACACCTACACACACACACACACCTACACACACACACACACACACCTACACACACACACACCTACACACACACACATACACACCTACACACACACACACACACCTACACACACACACAGAGGTTGAAGTTTCTTCATCACCATAATAGATTCTACATTGTCATTCATGAAATTTCCTAGCAAATCCAAGAATCAATGTGGTGTATAAGAGAAGTAATTAATCAAGGTAATTAATTTCACCTAGATAACTTATTTTTAGACTTTCTGTTTAAAATGAGCCCACCTGAAATTCTTCTGGAGAGACTGAATCATTCTGCACTGTAAACAATTTAAACCAATTTGAAATGTATTCACTTACTAATATATTTGTCAGGGATAAATATTATCAGCAGAACTGCAGGTGACCCAAAGTAGAAAACGCTAATTTTCATCTACACCAGATGTTAAGAGGCACCTTAACAAAGCTTATATTAACCTTACAAAATGTAACGCGTCATAAAACATGAGATTAAACACATCATAAACAATAACAAAATGCACATCTAGCAAAATACATAACCAAGCCTATATAAATTAAACAACATATACATTATAATTATAATCAAAAATATACACATAACAAGGCATGCAAATTAGCATAGAAGAAAGAATTGGCAAGTTCTGCATCTTAGGTTAGGTGAACAAACAGTTACTGTAGAGTAAAAAGAGTGGTTAAAATTGATTTTCACTTCTGTAATTTGATCATTGCTGATTTATGGTCATTGTCTGTGGATGTTATTCCAGGTGGTTGCTAAGGTTTTGCTGCATAGATACTGAGGTATTGGAGGTGGTTGCAAGGGTGTTGCTAAACAGTTCATATGTTATTCCAGGTGGTTTCTAGGGTGTTGCTAATGTATGTGTATGATGGAGATATATAAGAGATGTGCACAAACCCTTCCACCATTCATTCCTATGAAAAAAAAAAAAATGTAAAAACTTTTAAAAGTTGCAGTTAAGGCTGAACATTATCAACCTTTTCCTTTAAGGGGTTCAACAAACACATATGCATACAAATAGTAGAAGGATGGTAGAAGGATGATTTCTTGTGTCCTCTCTCTCTCTCTCTCTCTCTCTCTCTCTCTCTCTCTCTCTCTCTCTCTCTCTCTCTCCCCCTCTCTCAGATCCCCTCCATCACCAGGTCTGTCGATGCGGACCGTATCCTGGCTCTGAGACAGCAGACCCAGTTCCTTTGGGACTCCTACTTCTCCTCCGTTGCGAAAATAGTCTTAACTACATTAGAGGTGAGTTTACAGCAGGACTTGTTTACGGCAGGACAAGAGTGAGAAAAAAGAGTGCAAAAGGTCAAATGGAGAACGGATTGTTTTGTAGGGAGTTAAAAAAAGAATGGCCGGGTGTTGTGGTAATTTGTTCGTCACACACTTTTCACACACACACACACACACACACACACACATACTCACACAACTGGTTGGATTTCATGGCGGTCTGTCTGGCTTCTAACCACTCGCATACCTCACACATATCACACATCCAAACACTGTGAGCCAGTGCTTTAAATCTTCATAGACACCTCTGGTTCAACTGTACACCATTCACTCCACAGTAGGCAGTGTTTGCAAGGTTTATTTGCATTTCTGTGTAAAATCTCCTTAAGCAGGGTGAGTTAAGCATTTTCCAGATCACTTTTCTTCGGATATCATATATTGTATGTCATAATCTTGTGCATAGCTCTTACCTTAGCAATGGGTTTACAGTGTGGGTATTTACTTTTTTCAGTACCTAGTTTTGCAGGGACAGATATGATCTTGTAATGAGAACGTCCAGGATAAACATTAGAAATTTTGGGCTAAATGTTGGTGGGAATGTAGACTTATTAGGAGGGAACAAACTGATTTAGTAATTCTGGGTCTTTGGGCAAAAGACTTGAAGGGCGGCCCCTGGATTTTTACACAACTATCTACACTGCAAGAAAATTGCATTATTAATTTAAATGTTACATTATTTTGCTATATTAGCAGGTAATTTTGCATGTCTTAAGAAATATGAAACTAGATTATCTGCCAATATAGTGAGATAATTTGCTACAGAGTAACATAGAACTGAAGAAATTAATATATATTTTTATAATTTCTTTTGGTTTCCAGGAAGTAATAAGTAATGCAATCCCACAACAATTTGAGAGAATTAATTAGTAATTTGTAATGCATTTTTTTTTAGTAATTACCTCAACACTGATGCTATCTTTACTAACATATACTAATGCTAGCATAATGTTTGGGTTGCTGAACATGTTATCAAGTTTAACAAAGTTAGAACAAAGTTACACTTCTATAACCAAAGAATAAGTCATCTAGTTGCATTCTAGTCCATGTCTTCACTGAATACTAAGCCTTAGTACATCATAAGCCTGGGATTTTAAGGTTAAAATGAATAGCATTTAATCATATAGTAATTATTATTATAGGATATTATAGGATTATTATTTAGACACTAATCTTAAGACTTATTATTCAGTTCAGCCCCACTTTTTTTGGATAGTCTCCAGTAGATGATCTATAGATGTTCAAATTATTTACAGATTATCTGTTTAAACTCATTTGATTCTCTATAGTCTTAGAGTTAGGGTTAGTATTGGTTCCATGGTTAGGTTTAGGACCAGGGTGAGGGTTAGGTTTTAGTTTAGAGTTAAGGTTATGGTTAGGGCCAAGATTAAAGTTAATTGAACAGATATTTAGTTGAATGTAAGTGAAATGCGATATAAGCATCTACAAAGTGTCTACAGTGGATTACACAAAGAAAGTGTTACCTTCACTTCTTCTAGATCTAAAATATTGTTGGGTCATCTTGAATGCACAGCATGTTTAAGATCAACAGATTTTCAATGATGTTCAAGTCAGAGGACTTTGACAGCCATTCCAAAACATCAGCTTGCACGATGGATTTCGAGGTGTGTTTTGGATCATTGACTTGTTGTAGAAGCCTCTTTTCAGCCTTAGTTTCTTGACTGTCTGTATTACATTTGCCTCCAGTGTTTCCTGAAGCATAGGCTGCCACACACTTCCTAAAGCATAATATATCTACCCTCATGCTTAACAGTCTGCAAGGTGTTCTTTTCATCAAATGCTGCTCTTTTTTTTTATTTCCAAACATACCATTGGTGACTGCGAAGTCACTTTTAAAGATAGATGAAGTTGTTGTGTAAATACTGTCACATTACAGAATTATTTAAAACCACAAGTGTTTTGCGTTACCATGTTATAACACAGGCATACAACTATAGCTAGCTAAATGTTTGGAAATTTGGCATTGCTTGTTCAAGTGCAGTATAAGTACTCTCATAATATTTTCCTGTTACAGTTCAAAAAGTCTTGTTGGAAAAAGAACAGTTTTTACAAATGTAATTACCCTCACTTTATTACACATGTACGTACATGGGACAAGGGAAAATGGCATCACAGTTATCAAGATACACTTATGTAATTACACGAGCATTAACTTGATACAAAAGCTGATACACCCGTATTTACACAAGCTATACTACAGAAATCCACCTGTAACGGTGAATACATTACTTGTCGTTACACTGCTGTGGTATTTTGTTAATGTGTAACTACACAGTTACTAGAAACAGTTCATATAAAGTGGGATCTTCTTGTCTTTTACTTCATTGCTTACTTTAGTTTTAATGTTTATAACAGACTTATGCACACAGAGAGCTTTACCAAATCTAAATTCCACCAAACTTTTTGTGTGGCAATAAAATATTGAATGTTGAAGCATGATCTTGACCAATAACTGCTAATACTGCTAATAATGTAAAAACTGGCCAGATATATATTGCAAATAGAATGGGGTGCTCTGGAGCAGCCACACCTGAGCCTAAGGTCACCATGTCCAATGCAAAATGTCAGCTACAGGGGCAAAAAACCCATGCACTGAGCTGTGGAGCAGTGCATGTGGAGTGATGGAGCTTCATCCAATACCTTTGGGCTGAGTAGCATTGGTCTTTGTAATCCAACATCAGTACCTGACCTTACTAATGCTGTTGTGGCTGAATGCAGTCAAATCCTCACAGCAACATCTAGCATAAAGCCTTCCCAGAAGAGTAGATGCTGTTATGGTAGCAAAGCAGGACAAACTCCCTATTAATAGCTTCATTTCAAAAGAAACGTTGGATGAGCAGGTGTCTACAAACTTTTGGCCACAGAGTATACTGTATGTTAGCACAGAAGGAAGTTTTCCAGCATTAAAAATGGCTCCATTTCTTGTTGTCTAAAGCCTCGGCCCCTCTGACCACCCCTGTCTGTTTGACGCGAGCGTTTGAAGTGGAGTGAGTCAGTGTGAAATTCAGCGTCATTCCACAGCCAATTCCACAAGCCGAAACCAAACCCGGCCAATTCATATCAAAGAGACAGAGAGGGGGAGAGAAAGAGAGGAAGAAAGAGAAAGGGAGGGAGAGAATGGAAGATGAGAAGGCAAAGTGTGAAGAGCAAAACAAAAAGGGATGGATTTACAAATGAAAGAGAGAGAGAAAGAGAGAGAGGAGAGAGAATGAAAGGAAGCACTCGAGTCCCTTCAGAGCGTTCTGTTCTTTGCTTTGTGCTGGGATTAAAGCAAAGCTTTAGTTTTGTGTTGTGCCGACATTAAACGTCACCAGGTGCATATCGAAACCCTACAGAGTCTAAATTAGCCCTCGTCCGTGTGCCCATGTGGCAGATGCTCTAAACAAGGGGAGGAACTTGCGCATTGACACTGAGGTAAATGAGGCATCCATAACACCCCATGGGACGTGTGCGAATGCGCCTTGTTGTAAACGCTGGCTAATTTTCCACATACATCAAATGCTCCCTCCATCTGCTTAAACAGAAGCGTGCTCACATTCTCACGCTTAATATGAGCAAAAGTGAGAAATTGCACTGATCTCGCAACTCAGAAATGAGCTTGTTTTGTAGCCTGCATTAATGCCACTGTGCTCAAAACCGAATTCACACTATTTAAAGGTTACTCCACAGATTTTTCGAAATCCTGCATGGAGAGACCAAGAAGGGTTATAGACAGTAACACCCCCAGTTTCACTAATCAGAAACAACTACTGGGGTGATATCACTTCTGTGACTATGGTTAATATTAGTTTTTTTCCCTGTTTGTTTTCTGCTCTGAATTTAAGAAAGAAAATATCATTTACAAATGTGCCTTTAATAATTCTTTTTAGGATTTGCCTGAATCATATTTTTCCAAATATATTTATGGTGGAGAGAGACTCGCAGGCCAAAAGGGCTGTCAAAATAGCTATCAGCACCACTGTAAAGAAGTTGGTAGGTCTCTCTACAGTGAACCATTGCACTTCACACCACTTTGAATGACTTTATTTACATAATAAAGACTGAAACATGCAGGGAATTTCCAAAAATTGGAATTCTGCTTTGAACATTTTCGCAAAAACGGAAACAAAAACCTTGTCAGTCACCTGTGGAGAAAGGCCAAAAGGTCACAGACAGAGATGGAGATACAGGCCACCGCTTTGTGTGGATATACACATTCCTACACACACACAGGTCAGCCATCCGTCCTAGTGGACTGAATGCTGGGGTGGTTAATGAGCCCATGTAGTTGATCCTAATTGGCCGCTGTAGCTCCAGGCAGCAGTGTGCTGGACCCAGGGGAGAAGAGCCAGACCAGACGGATGGGCATGGCATGGCTCAGGGTGGGCTTTTTTTCCCAAGGAGGATGGAAGGAGTGTGTTTTGTGTGCCTTGCATCATTACTGCTTTGTGTGTATGTGTGTGTATAATCTGTTTTACTCAAAGGTCCATAGAGTTTTCGTTCCCTTTTTTGGACTTTTTACTTATTTATGGGGACCAAATGTTAAAAGGGGGAGTGTGTGTTTTAGCACTATTTTGTGTGTTTGTGTTTTTAAGTCTTTTTACTGAAATCTGATAAAAATTTAAGTCCCCACATTGAATTTGCCATCACTTTATCCATCACTTTATTAGGACCCAAGGAGAAAAATGTTACCACTTGTTGCTTGAAAATTAGTTGCTGTGTGTGTTTGTGTGTACATTGCTTTATTGTCACAATTTGGTCCCTAATTTAGACTTTTCACCACTTTGCGAAGACTCATACATTCACACAATTCGGTCCCCATTTTAGACAGATGGTCTTTGTGTGAACCTAAGGAGCATGAGGAGTGTGTTTTGGATATGGGTTGCATCAGTACTATTTTGTGTGTGTGTGTGTGTGTGTGTGTGTGTGTGTGTGTTTTCATTTGTGTTTCATACTTT